ACTATTCAAGCAGCCACTGCCACTGGCCAGGTTCTGTTCCAGAGGCTGAGGAGCCCAGTGGTGAACGCAGCTTGATCCTAGAGATGGGGAATAAGCAATCAGCACCTAACCTGATGCCCTGCAGTGCCCGACTGGGACAGGCAAGGGGACAGCAGGGCCAGCCGGCCGAGGTGCGGGGCTCCATCCTTCGCTCATTGCTGGAGGCAGCGAGCTTTGGGGCACGTCATGCAGCCCGGGCCGGGAGGTCAGCGCAGCACTGCACCCCAGGACATGCCAGCACCAGGAGGCCCGCCCGGAGCAGCGCACAGCTCCCGGGAGTCCCAGGGGCGTGGCCAGCCAGACCAGCTCCACTCCTGGGAGCCAGGTCGCTCGCTCACAGTTTAGGTGCCTGTGTGGTGATGTAAGAAGGATGAGCGAGGCCAAGCGGTGGAGAGCTGGAAGGCCTCTCCTCTGATCAGGATTCACAGACATCGCAGGCAGCTGTGGGAGAGACCCGCTGTTCTGCTGGTCCACCGTTCCCTAAAGCCCAGGTGTCCCCTCCGAACGAACCTTGCAGCACAATCCAGGGGCCGAGGGCCCACCAGGAGGCCGGGCGGGCGCCCTGATTTGTGCCCTGTGGGCCAAGGTGACCTGCCGGGGTTGGGCCCCTTAATGTCCCCCGGAAACCACGTGCTCAAGGCGGGGTCCCCAGTGGGGCTGCCGGGGGCTCGGCCTGGTGGGACGGCTTCCTGCCCATGTGGAGTGGTCTGGAAGGGGGCAGCGGAAGCCGGTTCATTCTGCCTGCTCAGGATCTGCTTCCCAGGCTGAGGTGGGCAGAGTCGTGCTCTGCCCCACACCTGCCCTGACACTGAATCACTACGGCCTTTGCGCTGAACCCTCTACAGTGAGCAAGACAAACCTTCTCTCCTTCACGTCGATTCTCTCAGACATTTGTCACAGTGAGCAGATGGGAAGGACACCCGCGAAGGATGCACATGTCCTGTGACTCTACAGGTGCCTGGGGAAGAACACCAGAGTGAGTAGGAGACTGGCAAGACGGAGAGGAGACTCGGCCAATCATGAGAGCCAGACCCACTACCCGCGGCCTGGGTATAGTGTGCCAGGGCGAGTGGAGAAGGCGAAGGAAGGCCAGCTCCTTCGGGCTTCTGTCTAATTTCCGCAAACATGAGCCATATTTTCACACTTTAAACATTTTTATTAACAGCACCATTGAGCATCTTCCACCTCAGAAAGGTACCCAGACATACAAGCTTAGCAGGGGAAATGAGTCACCTAAACGCAGCACCCTAGAGTTTTAAGGCCCCCAGATGTGACAGTAGCACTTTGCCAGAATCACCTGTGAGGCATGAAGGACTTTAAGCAACAGAACTGTAACGCAGCGCTGGAGCCCAGGAGGTCTCTGAAGTCATCCCCTCTGCACTGTTCTCAGAGTTCAAATGCATTCTGGGCTTTCCGATAAGAGGTAACTGGATTACTGAGCAAACATTCAGGAAAGTCCCAAGTATGCAAAACAGGCTAGGATGAAATAGCTGGAAAGAGGGGCGTGGAGGACGCCGGTGGGCGCCGGCTGAGGGCCACTCTCCTCTGGCTCTGGCTCGTGCTGCAGATTGGATCTGACCCAGGTTCCAAGACCTCGCTCCTCCTGCACCCCCTGGGCTGTAAATGTGTTCAGGACCACACAAGGTGATGACTTAGAACAGGTGGCCAACGGTCCCACATCTAAACTCAAAATCCACATTGGGAATGAAGCCTCGCTCTCTCATCTGTCTCTCTGTCTATCTCAAAGTCTTTAACTACAAGGGTGGGGAAATACATTTAAAAGTGAGCTACTTGGAACTATAATCAATATAGTTTGTCCTCCCTGAGAAAACAGCATTTGGCAAGGGACCCAGGGAGCCATGAGCCCGAAAGCATTTGTTGAATGTCTCAGCTCCTCCAGAACACTAAGAGGAGCTGCTCACCAAGAAGGACACAAAGCATCAGGATTACAATGGTGATCTTTAAGTACGAGGGAGAAGAGTGCACCCTGACCCCAAGAATCACTGTGCCACTTCTGCTGGCCTGGGTTAGCCCTGGGCTCATCGAGCTGAGGAAAAGCATGAATCGAAGAAATCAGTGCTGAAAAACGACAGGAGATGTTTTTTCCTTCATGGGGCTCAGGCTTCTAGTGACTGGCAGCAAAGCAGGACTCACAAAGGCTGTCTCTTTTCCTAAGGGTATAATTTCAAAAATTCCTAAATCAAGACAGCCCCAGTGTTCATGAATAGTTTTATTTTTAACAGCCTTAACCAGGGCTAGTGTTGCACACCTGTAATCCCAGCCCTCAGGAGGCTGAGGCAGGAGGACTGCCAAGGATTTGAGGCCAACCTGACCTGCATAGTGAGTTCAAGGCCAGCCTGAATGGCACAGGGAGACCCTGTCTCACAAACAAAACAAAAATCTTGTTTGGCAGCAGGCATTGCTCCAGAGTAGAGCACATATTTAACATGCAAAAGATCCTGAGTCCAACCATTTGTACCAACAATTAAAATCATTTTAAAGAGCAAATTCTGCGGAACTGATGATACTGAAAGACCATAAGCCCTTGGAGGGGCTGCCATCAGTGATGTCCCTAACCTTCCCTAATTCCAGCCAGTGGTTGGATCTAGGGACCCCAGGGGTGAGGAGGGCGCCTGGAGACAGCTCTAGTCCCTGGGCAACTGCAACGCAGCCCGGATGCTGCTGTCCCTCCTCCTTCAAAAACAACAATCATCCCAATTGAGGGCGTGCTTTCTGACTGCAGGCAGCTGCCTTGGTGTGACACATCTGCATCTGCGACTGTGGCAGAGTTTGCTGTTGTTTGGTTTGGTTTTGTTTTTTGACATTCAAAAGATTCCCATTAAACTTTGGAGCTTTTGATTTACTACCACTAGCATTTGCTCAATCTAGCAAAAAGAAAAAAGAAAAAAAAAGTAGCTAAGTGTGACATTTTAAGTTCTTCTCCAAAGAGTGCTTCCCTCTTTTTAATGGCAGCTTATCAACAATGCTGAGGGACAGTATTTTTTCTGTCAACACTAGAGACTGATGGCCTTGCGGGTAACCCTAACGGGCAAATCGCATGAAAAACGTAACCTTTATTCTCGAAATCCAAGTTGAAAAATGGGAAATTAAAGCTGACTTGCCTCTCACTTGCCTAAAATAACTTGAGAAAGAGTATGCACGGCGTTGCTGGAATCAATGCCCGGCCAGCATGGTCACCAAGCCCTGACCTGCACACAGACAGCCACTGGCAGATATGTGGTTTATAAGCAGATTTCCAGGCCGGGGTTCAGCTCAGTGGTAGGAGCTCCGCCCAGCATGCATGACGCTCTGAGTTTGATCCCGAGTACTACAGAAAAAAAGGGCTTTTGGTACTTTAAAAAAAAAAAAAAGGAAAGAATATTCTAAAATGAACCTACAAACACAGGAACACAAACTAAGGGTCAGAGTTTTTCTTCTCTACTAAATATATTGTTTTAAATATGTTGTCCTTCCATTGTTCCTGATGCAGAGAGAAAAAGAAAATCCTTTTACATTTCCTTGGGAGGATTAAAAGGTTGGTCAGCCAAAGATGGTGGTGCATGCCTGTAATCCCAACACTCAAGAGGCTGAAGCAGGAGAACTGCCCCATGTTCAAAGCCAGTCTGAGCTACATAGTGAGGTCAAGGCAGGCCCGGATTATACCATGAGACCATGTCTCAACAAACAAACAAAAAGCTATGTGCATTCAAGGGAGAGTAGAGCCCAGTAAAATACTACACAGCAGGTATCACAGAGCTGGGGGCAAACCCAGCCCCACGCGAAGAAGCTGCTGCCTTTGTGGGGGGGTTTCAGACCCTAAATGCACTCAGCCACTCCATCTGTAAGAGCTGCTATTCCCAGGCCCATGATCTGAGGTGCTCACAATGTCAGTAGAGGGTTTTTTGGTTTTTGTTTTGTTTTGTTTTGTTTTTTTGTAGAACCAGGGATTGAACTCAGGCCCTTGCACTTGCCAGACAAGCGCTTATTCTACTGAGCCATCTCCCTGGCCCCAAAGTAGGCATCTGAGGTTAGACTGCATCACTTTAGAATTAAGTGCCTTTCTCTTTCCAGAAAGATACTTTAGAAATTAAAGAACTCCACTCAGATGCAAGCTAGAATGCATTCCTTGAGCCCGCTGCACAAAGACTCTAAAATTGCAGTTTCCCATTAAATAAAGGCAGCATGTTGTGAAATGAAATTAGAGCTTCCAATTAGGAACAGATCATTTTTTCCCTTTGGCTGAGGCTACAGTGTCTCAAATAATATGTATGTAGGAGAGCAGCTCACGGATCCCTACGGTTTCTTCCAGAAGAAGCCTGTCTTCCCCACACACACTTAATGCTAAAAGTCAAGCTGCTATCTCATGGTCTTCTGCCCCTTCAGTTTATAAAGTGTGTCTAACCTAACCTGGCGAACTTTTGGAGTTAAGAACATTTTTAGGTTCTTTTCTATTTATGGGCAAATTAAACTTAAATAATGAACTTTCGAGAACAAAGAATTTCCTGTGCTACTGAGCACAGTGGCTGACATATCACCCTTTGAATTCAGGGTAAGATATTGGGTTTTGTTGTTGTTTTTTTTTTTTTGAAGACAGGTTCTTGCTATGTTGCCCAGGCTTGCCTGACACTCTTCAAACCAAGAGATCCTCCTGCCTCAGCCTCCTAGAAGCCAGGGCCGCAGGCTTCTGCTACTGAGCCTGGCAAAGCAAAACTTCTCTACATAATGTGGATGCTGTTTGTGTTCTCGTCCCAGCTCTGCTGAGGCATCCTGTGCAGCTGCGAAGTAGGGCTCAAGCTTGCAGTGGAGGAGATGACCATTTTCAGTCAGTTCTGCAACCTATGGAAACACACTAATTCGCCAAGATTCCATCCATTTCCTTAGATCCTCAAGACTGTTTAGATCCTGACACCTAAACGATGTGTGGAATCTAAGACGGATGCTTCTCCACTACTTAATACAGTTAGGTTATGAGTCTGAATCAGATTATGATAGATTTACTTGAGCCTGGTCACAATTCATAAAAGGCAATGCTAAACCCCTCAGAACACACCAAAAGCAGCAGCTAAAGGCTTCTCCCTTCTCACCGGGATATCAATGTTGCCGTCAGGTTATCAGCTGGAGACTAGAATAAAGACCTTACGTACATCTAATTAAACACGAGGCAGTCGAGCTTGTTTATTGGGCAGGAATGACTGCTCGCAGTCACAAACACTCATTTCCCCCAGCAAACTCAAATCAATGTGATCATTTAGAAGGAGACCAAGGACACCGCGACAGGTAAGGAAACCACCACCAAGGGAAAAATGACAAGGCCAGCTGGAGATTTTAGAAGACAGCAAGAAGTACTTGGGTCATAATTTACAAAGTAGAAATACCACCCACTTCCAAGTGAAAGAACACCTCCCCGGGGCGGACATGCCCTACTGGAACAGCCATTCCTCTACCTTTATCAAAAGATGCATCAAGGGGCCGGGAGATAGCTCAGCAGCACAAGCACCTGCCTGGCAGGTCCTGAGTTGGATCCCCAGTACCAGAAAAAAAAGAGAGAGAGCTGCATGAAAGATCCCTGGTAGTGCCCAGTTCTCTAACTTGCCTCTTTTCTGATCATTTCAGTAGAATGAGAAAAACACAGCTGTTCTCCCTGCAGCGGTTTCTACACCCTTAGGCTGAACTCGCCTGAGAGTCAGCAGAATGCTATGTTCAGTTGGCAAATAAGAGGTGCTTTTGAGTTTTTGCCTGCAGGCTTTTGCCCTGGGTCCAACCTACCCCCACTCCCCAGCACCGAAAGAGAACAGAAAGCAAGAATGGTAGAGAATCCTGCATCCCAGTCCTGGAGTCTCAGCCCACACACCTTGAGGGACCACGCAGTAGTTCCGTTCTTTAGAAAACCCGTGGGTCTTGGAAAGGTTATAAGCACCTTGACAACAGCAACTTCCTCTGACCCCGCACCAACCCCTCCTGGAGGCAGCCAGCGCACCCCGCAGCATGCAGAGCCCACAGTCCTCAGAGCTACGCTGCTGGCTCCACAGCCTTCACCCACAGTCTGAGCCGTGGACCCCACACTAGAAATGTGTGCTGTTCTCACAGCGTTGGTCCTCCTGGGCCTTGGGAAGGATATCTGCATGGCTGCTGCCGAGACAGTCATCCCTGGACACCATCACAGCCACATCCATGGGGTCCGTCCTGCTCCGGTAGCTCTCCAGAGTTAGGCCCCCGTTGTGCTCAGCACAGCCGTTGACGTGGGCCAGGGGCAGCATCCCGGGGGGACAGCACAGCTTGTCCGCACAGGCCTGGGACACGCAGGGGCTGCTGCACACCAGCAGAAAGTCCTTGTGCTCTGAGAACTCCTGAGAGTCCACGCTTTCGAACTGGATGGTCACACTGTGGATGCCGGCGTGGTGGAAGATCTCCCGGACCTTCTCGCTGGCCTCCTGGCGGGCTTTGTCCTCCTGGTGCTTGATGTGCAAGGTGGCGATGATCTTCCCGCTCACGAGCTCCCACACGTGGACTTCGTGCACGCTGCTGACGCCAGGTACGGTGGAGAGTTTGCTCACTAGGACAGAAAGAACAATAGCCACTGTGAGCGCCGAGGCAGGCGTGTGACCGGGGGGACACGCGTGCACCACAGGAAGGAAACCAGCTGCGCCCACACACCCGGCTCCCACGAGCTTCTCCTCTCTGAGTGCCTGGGCGCGAGTTGCCAGCCCTGAGTGAGGCCTCCAAGGAAGGAAGCTTAATGAAAAGAAAGGCCAGGGCTACTGGGTGCGGGGTCCCAGGGTGACACAGAGGAGCTCTGCTTGAGAGGACTCACTGGCAGAAGGAACCACAACATTCATCAGCAGTTCCAGTGCTGGGAACTTCACCCCAGGGTTTTGGGTTGTACTCTTTGTAGTAATGAAAAAAACAATGAAACAGCAAGGAAACCACTAAAGGAATCATAGGGCAGGGTAGGGTACAGCTGTTAAAACCATCGCATCCCTAAGGCTATGAGGAAATGCACAGCGGTATTTTTAAGGGGAAAATCCAATAGCTAAGCTACATGCACAGCATGAGCTTTTTAAAAATCTTTTATTTATGTATTTGGTACAGGATCTCACTACACAGCTCAGCATGGCAGGGCCAGCATGGCATGCAGTACCAGGAATTGAACACGGGTCCTTGCACTTGCCAGGCAGGCTCTTAACCTGTCAAGCTAACACCCCAGCCCTCAGCATGAACTTTTAAAGTGTTCTACAATGTACACAGGAGAAAATACTGAGGGCTGCAAGTTCTACAGTAGACTCACAATCGATTTCCACTCCTGGGTGGGATTTTCTGCACTTTCTGTACTTTCCAAAGTGAATGTGCATATAAAGCCATGGGGCAGCGGGCGTTTATGAGCAAAGACCCTGCTCTCAGCGAGAGCTGGGATCCCAGGGTGCTGCGCGAGCTCAGGGCGCTGCCTGGCCCTGCTGTCAAGAAGCCCTGCCTACCTGAAGACTAGGGACAATAATGAGAGCGCCCCACAGGGCTAGGCTAAGGACAGAAGCAAGCTGATCCAAGCACTTAGAACAGTACTTAGCCTGGAATAAATTAAAGGCTGTCATTACTGTTATTCCCATCTTCTAAAAAAAATTTTAATTACTTTTTTTTTAATTTTATTTATTTATGTGTGTGTGTGTGTGTGTGTGGCCTGCTCAGCCCACCAGGGAGCAGGGCTGGCTGGCATGTGGTGCTGGGGGATTGAACCACGGTCCCTGTGCTTTGCTAAGCTTGTTCTAAATAGGCGCTTTAGACCACTGAGCCATCTCACCAGCCCTAAAAAATATGTTTTTAAGGCTGGCAGGGCACATATACATGTAATTCCATCTCAGGGGAGGCTGAGCTAGGACTACCTCAAATTCAGGGCCAGCCTGGGCTACACCCTGAGTTCAAGGCCAGCCTAAACTACACAGCAAAACTGCCACACACAAAAAAAAAAAAAATCTTAAAAGGCAGGTGGTGCACTGTCCACCACAGGTTTTCTGTGTGTGTATCTTGTTTCCTGGCCTGGGAAGCAGACTAGACCTGGGAAGGCAGAGCTGCTGCCGGTCTACCCAGCCGCGATCCCTCCCTTCCCACCACCTGCACTCCCTGCAGCACCGGCAGACACCGCTAAACCCGCGCTGGCCAAGTGCAGCCTCAGGCTGGGGGACACTGGGTGGAGTCCGTTCTTCCCATGGTCCAGCCCTGCACCAAACAAGCAAAGGCCACACTGAAGTCACCCTTCAGTGACACCCTTCCAGGGGACACAACCCAGCCCCACAATATATCGGACCCTCGCAAGCTGAGTTCCAGCTGTGCACCATGAAATCAGTTCTTCCAGTTTCTACTCCACTTCCAAGGTGAATAAAACAGTAGCAGACATCACAACCGGGTCTTGTCCTGTCAGGGCACAGCCCCCACCTGGAACCTCAGGGGCTAGCATCGCCACTCGCTTCGTCACCAGCGTCTGAGGAGCTCCCTCCTAGCAGTTCCGCAAAGTCTAAAACTCTGTACCCTGTGATGCACACAACTGCAGTGCGCTTCTGGCTTCTGCTAAGGTGAAGAAGAGACAGAGTTCGCTGGTGGAAGAAGGGAGATCTGAGCTTAAACCCTGTGCTGAGATGTGGTGCCTGTGCGCTCACCGAAGTTAGGATCTAGAATATGAAGGATTTGAGGGGGGAGTTGGTTTTGGTTTTTGGTTTTTGGAGTAAAAACCAAGCTCTTCCTCAGCATGGCAGTACATACTAAAACTTCCACCAGTGGGGAGGCCAAGGCGGAGGACTGAGTTCCGGCCCAGCTGGGGCAACTGCAGGGCTTAGCACATCTCAAAAGGAGTGGGGGCTGGGCATGTAGCCCAGTGCAGCGCGGGTTCCATCCCCAGAGCAGCAAAAGCACAGAAAAGCCTCAGGAGGCGCCACCCATGCGCCCCCATGCGCCGCATACTCCAGGCTACAGACTCAGGAACCTGGGAGGACCTGGCTCCTGCAGCTGTGGGTCCTCCGCCGAGCTGCCAACTGTGGGGCAGGCTTCTCTCCTGCTAGATGGCTTGAGTTCTCCATGGGGGAGAAGCCACACACTGCTGGGCCCGGCGGCCCTCACCTCTAACCCCCGCACTTGGAGGGCTGAGGCAAGAGGGTTACAGCGAGTTCAAGGCAAGGATAGCAAGACCCCGAGTCAGGCCCAAGGAACCACACTCTCCTGCCCCTGCATCCCACCAGCCCGGATCCTGCTTGTTCGCAGGCGCTACTCACTCAGCTCCTCCATGTTGACGCCGGGGGGCACCATCTGCAGCAGGATGCTGGCCGTCTCCTTGATGAGCGGGAAGGCGGAAGACAGGATGATGACAACCATAATGACAGTCAGGCTGGGGTCGATGTAACACTGCCAATTACATGGCTGCTGGCTTGTCAGGGGAAGCACATAGAAGATGGTGGCCGTGATGACCACAATCACAGAGCCCAGGGCGTCGCCCATCACGTGCAGTAGGACCCCTGTCAGAGAAGGGGCTTGCGTGAGGGCGGGCCCGGACAGCTGCGCTGGAGCCAAGCTACCAGTCCCCTTGCTGCGCCAGAGGCCACCAGGCTGGGAAACTGAGCCTGCCAGGCCACTCCTTCTTCCTGACCTCCATGAGGAGGAAAACAGGGACTCGTGAGTCCCCGCTTGTCACAACAACACAAAATGAAAATTTGACAGTCAGCGGGATGGCACACGCTTGTACTCCCTGCACCCAGAAGCTGAGGCAGGAGGATCCCCTAGAGCTAGAGACCAGCCTGAAACTACACAGCAAGACCCTTTCTCAAAACCACCAAAGCAAATTTAAATTCTACAGATGCCAATAGAAACCAATAGAGACTGGGGATACCTTTAATGACAGGAGCTGTTTTTAAAGGTACCAGGATGGCATAGAAAACGTACACGACCCTCGGGAAAAACAGTGGGTCTTGACGCCTAGAGGTGCACTAAACTACATTTAGCAAATCTGGTGACCCTCTGGTCAAAGGAATAGAAAATACGGAAATAGTGTGTGTGGCTTAGAGGACTCACCATCAAAATCTTGCTGGTCAAGAGCACAGTAGCCCCTGGGGCAACCCACAAAACCAAGAAAATCATGAGATTTGGATCCTTGGGTTCACTTTTTTTTTTTTTTTTTGGCGGAACCGGGGATTGAACTCAGGCCCTTGCGCTTGCCAGGGAAGCACTTATTCCACTAAGCCATCTCCCCGGCCCTCTTTGGGTTCATTTTAAGGACACCCACGACCCTGTCCAGGCCATCAGTGGGTGCCCATCCAAAAAACCACAGCATCACCATGAAATGGCAGTGGGAGCCAATTCACTATCGTGACAAAGGACCTGCTCAGGTCCAGGTGGGATGGACTCCCAACTGCAGGAGTCCTGGCCACATGTACCAGGCCCTCTCCAGAAAGCAAGGAACTGTTCCTGACCTGGAGGAGGAGGAGGAGGGTGCCGGGTAGAAGATACTGCGGGAGAAACTGAAAATACAGTGGAATAATTGGGGCACGAAGCAAATGAAAAGGAGGCGGGAGTGCGAGGAGAAGGAGAAACAGAAACAGAACCTCAGCCCTGCCCAAGAGTCACTTGCAATGCACTAGCGAGGAAAGCCGCACAGCATGGCTGAGGAACTCGCCCGGATGGCTGGATGCAAACACACAGGTTAACTCATTCCCAAGGGGCTGGCGGCATAAAAGCCTGCAGGGTTTGAGTCCCCCTTTCTGCGGACCCCGGAGTCACTGGGAGAATTAGCAGGGACCCAAGTGACCACACGCCGCACACTGACCATGACACTGTGGCTCATCTGACAGGTAGTCTCCTCACACAACCTGGAGGCTGAGCTCAAAATGGGAAGCTGCCTGCCCGGGCTCTCAGCTGGAAAAGGCAGAAGGGAAGCAAAGCAGGCTGCGCAAGCACAGCGCATCGAGGGCAGCACAACTCACCCTACTGGGGATACGGAAGGTCTCCAGGGGGCACTGCCAGAGGCTGGTGGACCAAGGAAGGGGTGCTGAAGAGATGCAAGAGGGGTGGTGGTGCCGTCCTACAGCGAGGACTGGTGTGAGGTCCTGGGAAGCGCAGGTGCCGCGAGACAGCCCGCGGAGCCCTGGAGCATCAGCCATGTGTGGACCTCTTTTGCCGGCTGTCCAGACTCCGGTCCCCGCCCTGCTGTGACCCCATCCTGGAGAGCACTTCCAGAACGTCCCCTCAGAGACCAAGGTGGGAGACCAAGGTGACTAGGCAGATCTCCCAAGGGATAGCTTGATTCGTCCCCATGCTCTGGAGCGTCCCTCCGCCAGGCCACCTCTGCCCCTGCCCTATGGCTCTGAAGACCTGTAAGAACTGGCCCGTGTCACAAGCTGGCAAGGTGGTGCTGTGCACGGGGCCTTCACGGAGGGCGAGCGTGGGGAGGGGTGGGAGCCTTCGCAGGGAGGAAATGGGTGCTAAGGAAACAATCCCTGAGAGGCATTTATTTTCAAGTGATGCCAGGATTACTTTTCACTTTCGGAATTCAAGGGCCCTCTTCCTGACTCGGTGTAGCTTTTGCAATGTGCCCTGCGTGGTCCACTACCTAAAACGACCAGTGCAGAAGCACTGAGAAGTCTGAAAGGACTGCGCTTGCGCCGTTCCTGCGGTACAAGCCGCCGTGCACTTCTTTATTCCCTTGAGATGACAGGAAGTTGAAGCCAAAGGAGGCTTTCTGCTCCCGAAATCCCATTCAGTGTTTCCTGCACAGACCCGGGAGGAGCAGCGTTGTTTATAGCCAAGCAACGGAGCCATCCAGTGGGATGTAGCCCAGGACTGCAGCTGCCTCTGCTGCCGGCCAGGGCACCCGGGCACCCGGGGACACTGCCAGACTCTCCGAACTGTATCTCCATCCGCAGGGTGGAACAGCCGTTTTCCAACGCCTTCCCAGCCCTCGGTCAGCTCTGTGCATCTCCTCCCTGGAAGACGAGGACATAGGGCCTGAGCTGCTCCTGCTTCTCTCCTCTGCGCCCGTGCAGCCATGGCCTCCACCCCGTGGGCAGCTGCGTGACTCACCCATGGGAGTCGCCTAGCACAAAGTCCGCAGGCACAGCAAGCCTGGCTGCCCTCGCAGGCCCTGCGCACTGTGATTCCCTGCTCAGCCTAAACCCTTCAGGTCCTGCAGGAACACAGTGGCCACCCCCAGCCAGGAGGCCACATGTTAACCTTCCAGCCACGCGTTCATCACCTCTGTGAGTCCCCGGGGACCAAGGCTCAGCCAGGTGCCCCACGGGCTTTCCACCTCTGCCTCTTTCTACCCGGAAGCCCAAAGAGCTTCAGGCTAAACATGAGCAAGAACAGGACTGGGATGCAGGGTGCAGTGGGAGAGCTCCGGCCTGGTACACACACGGCTGAGTTCAACCCTCAGCACCCCCGAAATTAGCAAATCCTCCCAAGTTTTCCACAGGAGGTCACAGCATCTCCTGATCTACTCGTTTCCTCTGTCCTCACACCTGTCCTCTTGCTGACCTCTGCAATGCAAGGTGAAGACTGACAGAACCTGCTTTGAAAGACTAAAGAGCTACCATGGTGACACCCCTTGAAAACACTTTCTATCCACCCCCACCTTCCTATACACACAGAAATCTTAGGAAGAACCTTTTAAACCTTTTTTTTTCTTTTTTAATTATTTGGTACAGGGTCTCACTATGCAGCTCAGACTCTCCTGTCTCAGCCTACCCAGTGCTGGGATTACCGGGGTACACCACACGCTTGGTCTCAGTGGCCAGCTCAGCACACCAGGGGGTGGACCAGCATGTCATATGGTGCCAGGGGTCAAACCCCAGTTCCTGCACTTGCCAGGCAGACTCTTAGTCCACTGAGCTATCTCGCAAGCCCTTGAAGAACTTCTTTAAACGGTTCTTTAAAGATGATAGGGGCCGTGGAGATAGCTCAGTAGAATAAGCTCTTGCCTGGCAGGCACAGGATCCTGATTTCAATCCCCAGTACCGCAAAAAATAAATAAATACATAAATAAAAGAAAAATTAAAAATACAGGTGATGATCTTTCATTTCTCAAAAAGATTCATCACCAAGCACTTTAGAAAATCCCCACTGAGTTAAAACTTTTTAATTCATTCAGTTAGGGGACTTCCCGTATTACTGGTGTTTTGTTTCCTACATTTTCCTATAAGCCTATTCTGCGAGTCACTTTACAAATCAGAAGGTGTCTGAATTATTCGCTTGTTTGTTTGTTTTTGGTTTTTTTGGTACCAGGAATCAAACTCAGGACCTTGAGCTTGCCAGGGAGGTGTTTGTGCCACTGAGCTAATTCCCCAGCCCCTTTCCTTTCCTTTCCTTTCTTTTCTCTTTTCCTTTTCTTTCTTTCTTTCTTTTTCTTTTTCTTTTTTTTTTTAAGGCAGGGTCTTGCTATGCAGTTCAGGCTGGCCTCAAACTCACAGAGATCCTCCTGCCTCAGCCTCCCAAAGTGCTGGGATTACAGGGTCGGCCACCATGCTCGGCTTAGCTTTTCATGACATTATGGCATCTCAGCCCACCAGGTCTTCTCCTAGTTACAGGAACAGTGGTGCCCTGCTTCACCTGTGCTTACTCTGTCAGGCCAGGGAAGCCCTGGGGAACCTGCTGAAAGGGGGAAGTCACAGGAAGGTGGAGGCTGCGGGGGTGTTCACTGGAAACCCTGGGCTGGCATGCACCAGGCTGCTGCCCTTGAGCTAGTGGTGGGAAGAAGGTCAATCAGTGCCTGCCACGGAGCTCCCCAAAATCCCACTAGCGACCTGGAGCACCGCCTCACCAGCGCGAGTTTCTGGCAGATATATGCAAAGCCACAGAGCCACCGCCGGGCACAGCCTCTGCTCTTCTGAGCTCTGTCAAAGTCCTATTTGATTAAAGCACCAAGCGCTGGGCGGGGCTCGGCAGTAGACCCTGCACCTCACAAGGCGTGGAAGCCACGGAACCTCCAAAACTAAATGAATCATAGAGAAAGAAAGAGGATTAGGCCACGTGTCAGCAATACCCACGATGGAAAAATGGAAGCCCAGAGCAGGCAGCGTCTGGGCAGGTGCTGCGCGCCCCAACCCAGATGGTTAGCTGCAAGCTTTCCTGCGCTGCCAATGGCGCGCGATTGGGCAAGCGACCAGGTCATAGTCTGTGCGTGGGCGGGCCTGAAGCGCGGTGTTCAACGCCAGCAGAACTGGGGCACAAGGGAGAGGGGAGCAGTCAGCCTGGCCCGGTGGACCCTACCTCTGATGTTCAGGGCGTCAGACTTCTTCTTGTTCACTGTCTCTTCCGGCGCAGTCTGGACGGCCAAGGAATCACCTGCACTCAAAGAAGAGACCTTGTGTTGTGTCGAGTTCTACAGACAAAAAGAACCGCAGGACTCAAAATGAGGCTCCGTTACCTACAGCCGCTCCCGGGCCTACTGCCCCTGCCTCTGCGCCCACCCCACCCACAGCAGGACCCGCAGCCCCCAAGGGCTGCGTCCTCCACCTTTGGACCCCATCCAACTAACTTGCCCATGAATTCACCGAGGGAGCCCATCCCTAGCCTCCCCAAAGCCCACGGGGCCCCAGGGCAGAGCCGCGGAGGAGGGGAGGACAGAAGCAAAGTTCAGAGCAGCCAGGCCTGTGTTGCTCAAGAGAATCAACACTGCCCCAGGAAGACGGAGGAGGGGAGGGGGCTGAGGGCGGGATGTGCACCCCAGGACGCCTCCGAAAGGCACCTGCTGGGTTGGTGGTCCCCGCGGCACACTTCTCCTGGCTTGGGCTTGGGTCCTCCGCATCCCCGGGTGCCCCCATTGCGCGGCGAGCGCGCCGGGCCCGGAAGCAGCAGAAGAGCCCCGCAACGCAGTCCTGGAAGATGAGCAGCCCCACGATGTTGACCGCCAGCCCCAAGGCGCCCACCACCAGCACCAGGCCCGGGTCGTCGACGCGCTCGGGCCGTGCCAGGCGCAGCACCGCCTCCACGAAGATGGTGAAGCAGAGCGCCGTGAGGAACACGGCGTTGGCCAGCGCGCCCACCACCTCGGCGCGCGCGTAGCCGAATGAGGCGCGGACACTCCAGCGTGCGCGTCGGGCCAGGAAGCGGGAGGCCAGGCCCACGCACAGCGAGATGAGGTCCGACAGCATGTTGAAGGAGTCGGACAGCAGCGCGATCGAGTTGCCCAGGTAGCCCGACACTAGCTCGGCTACAAAGAAGCCGGCCGTGAGCACCAGCATGGCCCACAGCCGGCATGTCGCGCCCGAGTAGCGGCCCATGGCGCGGCCACCTCCGCCTCCGCCTCCGCCTCCTCCTCCGCCTTCTTTTACGCGGCGGCTGAGCACCGCCCCGGCCTGGCCCCCTCCTCGGCTGGGTCAGGTTCTGCAAACGGCAGCAGCGCGGTGTCAGTCTTGCCCGCGAGCAGATCTGTCGCCCGCCTTGATAAGGGCGCGCTCCTCGGGCGTGATCGCCCTGGGACCTGGGACGGGTGCTGCGCGGACGTGCAGGGCGCTGCCCCAGGGCAGACTCCACTGGGACCGACCTGGGGCTCTGCAGTCTGGCCAGCCCCGCCCCAGGTGCGTCCTGCTGCTCACCGGGTCACGGTGAGCTCACCTCATTAGCAAGTGCCCAACCTGTTACCACCCAGAGAGCCTTCAGAGAAGCCCGGGGATCTATTGGGACCCCTGTGGGTTCACCTGCTCCAGGCAAGGGCCGCTGGGCAGTGCCTTAGCACAGCCCCAGAAAAGCGACACTCTGAGGCCGGTCCCTCTGCATTGGACACAAGTCCCCCACCACCAAGGAGGCCAGGGCCGGCCCCTCCTGCGTCCTCCATTCATTCATCACTGGACAGAGCACGGTCCTCTCCCCAAGGGTCTCTGCCCCCGGGACAGGGAGGTGGAGCTCCATCTGTTGTCCCAATAAAGAAGTAACAAGGTGGTTTCTTCCCAACAGTCTCCTGGTCAGCAGGCAGCAAAAGTGGTCTCCAGGGAGCCACGCCCAAGCCGCCCCCACCATGTCCAAGTGGAGAAGCAGTCCCAGAAAGACAGGTGCTCCCCTCTGGCCAGCTGGGGGTGGGGGCAGGATTTTAGTCTGTTTGCTTGCTTTATACTCTTATCTCATTCCACGAAGGATCTAAGGTAAAGGCTGGTAATCTCCATCCTGCCCCCCACCCCAAGTCTTGAATTTCAAACATTCTGAAAAAAATTTTAAAAAGCATTTTTTGGGGGGGGCTTAGAAAAATAATCCGCAAGCCTGCCTGATGGCCTGCACCTGTCATCCCAGAGACTCAGGGCTGAGGCAGAGGGTCACAGGAGCCCCGCAGTCCAAGGCTAGCTAGGGAACATGAGAGACCTGATGCACAAAACATTTCAGACTCCAGGAGCAGAACATTCCCCCCTCTAGCTGGTCATTGTCTGTCAAGTGTAAGCATGTCTTTCAATGACCCGAGGGTCCCTGACAGCTGCCAGAATACCCTCCACACAGGGTCCCACCTTTAATTAGACAAGGACCAGACTAGGGGAGCTCCTTAAATACACCCTGTAGCCCAAGGAAAATGTCCTTGTGCTGAGAACGTAAGAGATTGATTGATTAAAATTCTCTAAAAATTAACATTAAAATGATCAATAAAGAAGTAACAAGGTAGAGATTTTTGGAGGTTTTGAAGCTGTGACCCTTCCCTAGTGCGTAGGTATCGAGGCTGTCTTCACAGCTAGAGCATGGGAATAGCAATAACCAAATGTGTGGAGTGCTCACAATGTACCCGGGACACAGTAAGCTCTCCATATAGGGAGCTACTGTTTTTGTCATAGTGTTGGCAGGACAGTGCCTAGGTATAGAATACATGGCCTGACAGGGGACATGCTATGACCCAAAGAAGAGGTACACCAAAGACGGCAGCCCTTCTGGCCGCTGGTGTATGGGGTGTCCAAACTGCGGGTGCCTTAAAACCTAGGACAGGGAGCAAAGTGGTAGACAAAAGAGGCAGCCAGGCCTCTGGCGACTCACCCACCAGCCCAGAGCGTCCTTGCTAAGCGTGTTTCCTCCTGGTCCACAGCTATGAGCAGGACCAGAAATCAGCAGAAAGTTCTTATCTTCCTAGTACTGGGCTCTGTGCACAGTTGTGCACCCTGTGACAAAGGCTGATAGCAAGAACTGGCCACTGCACCCAGAGCGGCCTGCAGACCTAGAAAACCAGAGGCCAAGGGACAATTGAGGGCGTTGTCACTGTTGGGGGTCCCTGCCAGTCCCCAGCTCTAGGTAAGGATGAATAGCTGCTGTGGAAAAATGCCTTCCTCTAATACACATGTGCGTGTGTGTGCACTTCCATGTCCATATCCATACGCATGGATGTGCATGCACGCGTGTGCTCGCACCCTCACATACTGTATCAGCTCACTGGCAGAAACTTACTTACATTCTATACCTGACGGTGCATTGTGGGAACTCAAGAGCTTCGGTTGACTGAGCTCCTACATGGCCCAGGTCCAGCTCTGTGCTGAGGACTTTACTGACATCATGTCACGCCAATCTCACAAAAGCCCCTGTCAAATATTTTAATGTTTATTACATAATGTTTTAGTAGGAACTATTTTTAGGTGAAGGGCCTCCAGCAATTCTGAAGGGCGGGGCCACGCTGGACAGTCTGGGAGGGAGGGCTGAGGTCTGTGCAGGCGTCGCTGGGCAGCGCACCTCACTCCGCCCTGGACAAAGCTGATCATTGCAGTGCTTGAGTCCTAATTCACGCGAGGACGACTCGAGCTCCCCTTCTACAGGTGCGAAACCTGATGTACCGTAACGCACCAGGACCCTAGAAAGCCTCTCCACATTGTTGCTGGACCCAGGAAGGAGCGAACATTACCATATCGGCTTGCTCGCCTGAGCAGCTGCAGAGGCCCTCGCCTTTCTTCTTATTTTGGGGCTCTTCCCTCCCCAGAAGAGAGTGGACCTGATGCCTGTCCCAAGGAGGAAAAGGGTCTCTTTCCAGAGCAACAGCCTCCAGTGGCGAGGTACACAGAAGCACCCTTAGGTGCCCATCCTCTGCGTGTCCTGACCAAGGTGTGCTCAGGGCTGTGACACCCTGGGTTTAATCCCCAGTACAAAAAATGTCTTTGTTTTTGTTTTTGGTGCCAGGAATCAAACTCAAGAACTTCCGCTCACCAGGCAGGTGCTGTGCCACTGAGCTATTTCAGTGGCTCCCCAAAAGTATTTAAAACATTCTATTTCTCATAAACCATCTATTTTTCTTTGGTACAAATAAACCAAATGGTTTCATTAGTTTAGGGCTAATTAGCTACTGGTTAAAATATTTTGCAAATATAAATTTATTTATTTTTAAACTTTATTTATTTTTACACGGTCTCGCTACGCAATTCAGAATCATAGTGATCTTCCTGTCTCAATCTGCTCAGCACTGAGATTACAGGCATGCGCCAGCACCCCCAGGGCTTCAGGGCCAGCGCAGCATGCAGTACCAGGAACCAAACTAGAGTCCTTGTGCTTGCCAGGCAGGTGCTTAGACTGCCGAGCTATCTCTCCAGGCCCAAATATAAAGATATTTAAAATAAACTCTCAGGCCTGGGCAAGTAAGTGAGACGACTGAGGGCCGCGGGATCCTGAATAGACCCAGAGCACAGGCCTGGCGAGTGAGTTAGATGACCAAGGGCCGCGGGATACTGAATAAACCCAGAGTGCAGGCCCGGGGAGTAATTGAGACAACCTGGGGTCCTCCGGATCCTGAATAGACCCAGAGCGCAGGCCCAGCATGGAACCCTTCAGCAGAACTCCCTGCAAAGAGGCTAGAGGCAAGACCCACCCAGCTGATTCAGGAGCAGAACATCTTGCCAGAATGACACAAAG